GCAGCTGCCTGAGTGAAGAAACGCCTCCAGCTTCAGTGGGCTGGGAGCAAGAGGCAGAGCTGAAGCCCAAGGTTGGGGGCTTTCACCTAGCCCCTAGAGCTGGCATTGTGAACTCAGACTTCTAGCCTCCTAAACATAAGAGAATAAACTCCTGTTTGTTAAAGCCACCCATTTGTGGTATTTTCTGTTACAGCAGCACTGTTGTTGTTGTTGTTACGTGCCGTCAAGTCAGACCCGACTCATAGGACCCCTCCTTGGGTTTCCGAGGCAGTATCACTACGGAAGTAGATTGCTCAACCCTCCTCCGAGGAGTGGCTGGTAGATTTGAACCACCAGCTTTCTGGTTAGCAGTCAAGTGCCTTAGGCACTATGCTACCAGAGCTCCTTACAGCAGCACTAGGGAACCAAAACAGGAGAGAGGGCTGAAGGGTGATGGTGAACTAAACACGAAAGACTACCTGCTGAAAGGTTCATGCTTCGTCAACTGTAGAATTAGAACTCCTCTCAGTTCAAATCACGAAAACTGGGATCTTTACATCACAAGATAAAAATACCTGAGATACACTCTGAGCACCAGAGAGGAAACCGAGGGCCTCTGGGATAGCAAACTGAGTACGGGTCAGCCATGAGGAGCTTTTCAGAGCAGGCTGGACAGCTTCTCAAGGGTCGGGGTTGGCACTGGTGCGGTGCTGCTGCGCCTGCCCAGATGGGCCTGCACACTGGTGCCGCCCCCAGGAAGGCTGGGCTTGCCCTCTACGCACCACTGGCCTTGCTCTTGTCCCTCCTTCGTCGCCTCAGATTGCTGGCTCAGGTCTCTCTCCACACAGTCCAGCAGTCCAGGCATGTGGCCACCTCCTCCAGTCCAGCGCTGAGCTGTGCCCACCAGCGCCAGGCAGGTGGCTCTGCCCTACGCCCACAAAGGGCCCGTCTCCTGCAGACACGTGGCCCCAGCCCAGCCCTGTGCTCCCGAGCTGTGCCCACCAGCGCCAGGCAGGTGGCTCTGCCCTATGCCCACAAAGGGCCCGTCTCCTGCAGACACGTGGCCCAGCCCAGCCCTGTGCTCCCGGCCCACGTGGCCCTCTGGGCTCCAGATGCAGCTCCCAGCCGGAGTGTGGTCCCATCCCAGCCACCTTTCAAGCCCGAGTCAGCCATCACTTCTCACCAGTGCGTCCTTGTGGCCACCAATGACAGTTGGATCTCGGGACATTCACGGACAGGAAAAAAAGCCTGCGGGCTTTTGGCTGCCTGACCTGCGTCCCCATAGAAACGACAGCAGGGAGGCCACTCCGCCAGTACCGTGTGCCTGCTCTACATGCTGGCCTCACACCCACTGCCCTGTCTGACCTGCGTCCCCAAAGAAACGACAGCACCAGGACAGCACGGAGGCCACTCCGCCAGTACCATGTGCCTGCTCTGCACACCAGCCTGCCTCACACCCACTGCCCTGACGTGGCAGATACACAGATGTTTTGTGAGGGAGGAGCAGACCCAGGCTCCTGAGCCAGCTGAGGGGCACAGAGCCGGGCCCCTCCTTCCCGAGGCCCCAGCAGCTCGTGCTCTCCAGACAGCCAGCGCCGAGTACAGACCGGCCCCTCCCTGAGCTGGGAGCTCCACCAGAGCAAAGCACGCAGATGCTGGCAGAGGGGTCTTTTACAAAAAGCCACTGACGGGTGTGCGGTCAACACCACATAAAGCTAGGCTTGTGAGTGAAAATGCTAGAGTGTGGGATGTGGCAGGGCCAGGGAGGGAGGGCCCAGGAAGGAGGGCCTGGGAGGGACAGCTCCAGGGGTGGAGCCGCAGTGCAGCCCCCGTGCCCCCACGCCCTCAGATCCACGGCCACACCTGGCCACGTGTGCACAACACCCTGGCTGTCCTCGCCCTGCTTGGAAACTTGTCACGACACCAAAAGGCTGAGCCAACAGCTGAACTCTGCGCTAACTTTACCAAGAAAACTGACTGTCCAAACACTTCTTCCAGCTCTCTTGGTGTGACCTTAACCTCACCTCTCAGGCCTGTTAGGACCATGCAGGTGGCCTTTCAGTTGCCAGCGTGCATTTTAACCCCTGTGCCACCACAGCCCCTGTACTGCTACTGGGCAGTTCCAAATACCCCACTTTACAGACAGGAACTGAGACGCGAGTCAAAGCTCGCAAAGACACACGGCAGATCAAGATGCGAGGGTGGGAATGCAAAGCAGACTTGTTGGCTGACTGTGGCTTTCACAGGGAGACGCTGCCACTCTCAGGCCTGGTGGTGTGAGGCCACTGCTCAGGGCGAGCCCGGGAGCGTCCCTCCTCCTAGAGAGCAGAGTCACCTTCCAGCCAGCACCGGCCACAGCCGCACAGCAGACTCACCATGGGTACAGCTCAGGACCCTCGCACACGCCCACCTGGCTCAGGTAAGGACGCCCTGTCTAATGCCTGGCTCCATCTCTGCCTCCACTGTCTGGTCGCACAGTCCATCTGCCTGTTCAGTGTCACACCTGGCCATGACATGGCAGCCAGTGCCCCGAGGTCACAGTGCTGACAGCTCTCTTCCTGACCTCTCCGAGTGAGGCTGCGCACCCATACCATCCGCAGCTCTGATGTGCGCCCGACCCACCAGGCCCATCTCACCCCATGGCATCCACGTGCCAACAGGAACATGGCACATCGTGGAGGCATCACCCAGTGAGTGAGCCCCAAGTGGTACTCCATGGTCAGTGGGGGCTGCTCGGGCCTGGGCCAGCAAGCAGGGCCAGGGACCCAGCCCAACTTTCAACAGGGCTTTCTCCAATTCACGTACACTGCCAAAGCTTTCCAGGAGGCAAGGCCGCAAGCAGAAGGCTGGCCTTCCC